ACAGGAGTTCAGAGCTGGGCCTGTTTTCTGCTGGAGTCAAGCTATAATAGAAGACTAACACTCTGTTTGTTCCCACAGGTAACAGTGACCTCTGTGGGGACATACAAAAAGGGGTAGGAGACAGGGTACACACAACATACCCACTGGCATCTAAGTGGGGAGCACACATGAATATCCCCGAGTATTAATACCAAGCAAATAGTTCATTCAGTTTGATGAAGTTCTGATTAGAAAGCAAAACAGACTACTTAATCTTCAAGGGAGACATGCTAGTACAATATGCAAACAGGATGAAGCCTCCACCTTCCTTCCTCACTAGAGAATCAGAACAGCAGGAGGAACAGGAACAAGCTGGGTATCCGTGTTCACGGGGAGTCTCCAGAGGCTGATTCTGCTCGGAGACGGCAAGGATGGTGTAGTAGTCCGCTGGGACTCCCGCACCAAAATGGATATGGCTGGATGGTTTAAACCACAGTAATTAATTTTATGTTTCTGGTGGCTGGAAATTCCAAGATCAAAGCCCAAGAGGTTTCACTTTCTGGTAAGGATCTTCCTCCTGGTTTGGAGATAGCCACCTTGGGTAGAAAGTAGGGTTAGGGGCAAGAGAAGAGAAAGAGAGAGAAGAGGAGAGCTCTCTGGTTTTCTATTCTTAACAGAACACTATTTCTATTAGATCACAGTCCCAGCCTTTTGTCATCATTTAGCCTCAATTTCCTCAATCTCCATCTCCTATAGCTACATAAGGGGAATAGTGCCAGGCTTGAATTCTCAGAGCACAGAGCACAGAGGGGTTTCCCCAAAACACAACACACTGGAAACTCCTCCTGGGTGCTCCAGTTCACACATGATACCCCATTTCAGCCTTAGGGGCTCCATGTTGATAATCAGACATTATTACCCTTAAAATGTAAGTTAATATTTTTAGATCATGGCAATCTCTTTGGTTTATTGTGGGATTTGTTTGCCATCTACAGGCAGGTCTTTGACATAGCAACATTTAGTATTGATTTTGTGATCGCGAAAATTAATTATTAAACATAATAATAAACTAAGCTTAATACATTGATTGTTTAAAAAAAAAAAGGCCATTGAAGGGCTTAAAATGAGTGTAAAGGGATAAAAAGACAGAGTCCTTCCAAAGGAGGAGTGTTTGTCACAGATGAATATTTTTTATCAGTAATTTTTATCAGTAATTCTCAATGGTAAATGACAACTTCAGATAGACTGTCACAAATATAATCATACATTAAAAAATTATTTCCAGCAATCATGTAAATACATTTTCAGATTAATAAACAAGAAGGCTGAGTTTTTCACCAGATTCGCTTGGTGAAAAATTTCACAAACCTGTGCTTTACACAAAAGAACATTTATCCCTGGTGGAAAGCTAGAGTTTTCTTTGGTCTTTATAAGAAAACAACTTTCCCTTCACTCTGCTCTACCTTATGCTGCTGAGGAATGGATGTGGAGACACTGACTGTGACAAATGAGGAGAACGGGGCTCTGAGTGTGGTCATGCCTCCTGCCCACCTGAGTGACCTCACAGAGCAGAGCCGTCGACACCACCAAAGCCACCTGCCAGTCTCTACATTGCTATAGCACAGACAGAGAAACTTCATCACATTTAGTTCACCATATTTTGAAGCTTCTTTGTAATACATTTGATTATGCTCTGATTCTCCTTGTATCCCTTTCAGTATTTGGAGTCATTAATTTTTTACCATTTCAACTTGAGAGTATAGCCCCTCGGGATATCAACACCATGTAGGCTGTATGTTTGCTTGTTTTTTAAAAGTGTCCAACCACCTTGAGTTGTTTGGGCCTTATTCCCTGTCTCACATCAAAGCAGAATCGTAGGTCATTAGGTGTCATCAATCACTTGATGGCAAAAGATGATGATGACACCGCTTAGCTCCTGCTCCTGCTACATACGCTTCTCCCTGAATTTTGTAACAACTTTTAAGCTCTGTGATGCATTACTTAGTATTTTAAACAGTGTATTAAGTATCTTATGTTTTTTATTTTCACAGCTCCAGTCTGCTTGATTTCTATATAAATATTGTCATGTCTACTAAACCCAACAGAAATGGCACTTCAGAATTTTAATTGCACTTGCCATGAAATTCATTATGTTGGAGTAGAAAATCATCTCAAATATATTTTAAATCTTAAACCTGAAGTAGGATCTTCCTGTTCTGTTGCTCTAACCATTTTGGGTCTATCACACAATATTGTGATATATAACTGACATGACAGATCATTAAGTTTGTTAAAACACTATTTTGCATGGCACTAGACAAGGATGCCCTCTCTCACCACTCCTATTCAATATAGTACTGGAAGTTCTAGCCAGAGCAATCGGGCAAGAAAAAGAAATAAAGGGTATTCAAATAGAAAAGGAAAAAGTCAAATTGTCTCTATTTGCAGACAACATGATTGTATATCTAGAAGACCCCATTGTCTCAGCTCAAACTCTCCTGAAACTGGTAAGCAACTTCAGCAAAGCCTCAGGTTACAAAATCAATGTACAAAAATCACAAGCATTCCTATATACCAATAACAGACTTGAAGAGAGCCAAATCAAGAATGAACTGCCATTCACAATTGCTACAAAGAGAATAAAATACCTAGGAATACAACTAACAAGGAACGTAAAGGACCTCTTCAAGGAGAACTACAAACCACTGCTCAACGAAATAAGAGAGGACACAGATGGAGAAACATTCCATGCTCATGGTTAGGAAGATTCAATATCGTGAAAATGGCCATACTGCCCAAAGTAATTTACAGATTCAATGCTATCTCCATCAAGCTACCAATGACCTTCATCACAAAACTGGAAAAAAATACCTTAAACTTCATATGGAACCAAAAGAGAGCCCACATAGCCAAGTCAATTCTAAGCAAAAAGAACAAAGTGGGAGGCATTACACTACCAGACTTCAAACTATACTACAAAGCTACAGTAATCAAAACAGCATGGTACTGGTACCAAAACAGAGATATAGACCAATGGAACAGAACAGGGGCCTTGGAGGCAACACAACATAACTACAACCATCTGATCTTTGAGAAACCTGACAAAAACAAGTAATGGGGAAAGGATTCCCTGTTTAATAAATGGTGTTGGGAAAACCGGCTAGCCATGTGCAGAAAGCAGAAACTGGACCCCTTCCTGACACCTTACACTAAAATTAACTCCATATGGATTAAAGACTTAAACATAAGACCTAACACCATAAAAACCCTAGAAGAAAATCTAGGCAAACCATTCAGGACATAGGCATAGGCAAGGACTTCATGACCAAAACACCAAAAGCATTGGCAACAAAAGCCAAAATAGACAAATGGGACCTAATCAAACTCTACAGCTTCTGCACGGCAAAAGAAACAGTCATTAGAGTGAATTGGCAACCAACAGAATGGGAAAAAATTTTTGCAGTTTACCTATTTGACAAAGGGCTGATATACAGAATTTACAAAGAACTAAAACAGATTTACAAGAAAAAAAAAACAAGCCCATTCAAAAGTGGGCAAAGGATATGAACAGACACTTTACAAAAGAAGACATACATGAGGCCAACAAACATATGAAAAATGCTCATCATCACTGGTCATCAGAGAAATGCAAATCAAAACTACACTGAGATACCATCTCACGCCAGATAGAATGGCGATCATTAAAAAATCTGGAGACAACAGATGATGGAGAGGATGTGGAGAAATAGGAACACTTTTACACTGTTGGTGGGGTTGTAAATTAGTTCAACCATTGTGGAAGACAGTGTGGCTATTCCTCAAGGACCTAGAAATAGAAATTCCATTTGATCCAGCAATCCCATTACTGGGTATATATCCAAAGGATTATAAATTGTTCTACTATAGGGACACATGCACATGTATGTTCATTGCAGCACTGTTTACAATAGCAAAGACCTGGAACCAACCCAAATGCCCATCAATGATAGACTGGACAGGGAAAATGTGGCACATATACACCACGGAATATTATGCAGCCATCAAAAACGATGAGTTTGTGTCCTTTGCAGGGACATGGATGAACCTGGAAACCATAATTCTCAGCAAAGTGACAGAAGAACAGAAGACCAAACACCGCATGTTCTCACTCATAGGCAGGTGTTGAACAATGAGAACACATGGACACAGGGAGGGGAGCACTACACACTGGGGTCAGTTGGGGGACATAGGGGATGGACGGTGCAGGGTGGGGAGTTGGGGAGAGATAGCATGGGAAGAAATGCCAGATATAGGTGATGGGGAAGAAGGCAGCAACTAAAACGCAAGATCCAGATTCATTTTCTGGTAAGGATGATGTCATATGTAAATAATATATTTTTGTAATATTTGAAACCTTTTATTATATAATATAGTACTAAATTTATCATCCCTAAACAGTACTTAGAATAAACGCTTTTACAGTTAGAATTTGGTTTAGGGGAAAAAAAAGCCCTCTCATATATTTCTGCATTTTTTCCTGTGGCATATTTAGTAAACTCTGTGTTCTCTATCTTTTCAGTTTATGCTGCCTTTTTTTTATTTTTTTTATTTTTTGAGACAGAACTTCACCTTGTAGCTCAGACTAGAGTGCAATGGTGCTATCTCGGCTCACTGCAACCTCTGCCTCCCAGGTACAAGCAGTTTTCCTGCGTCAGCCTCCCAAGTAGCTGGGATTACAGGCAAATGCCATCATACCCTGGCTAATTTTGTATTTCCGGTACAGACCCAGTTTCACCATGTTGGTCAGGCTGGTCTTGAACTCCTGACCTCAGGTGATCCAACCACCTCGGCCTTCTGAAGTGCTGGGAATACAGGCAGGAGCCACTGCACCCGGCCAATGCTGCTTATTTTGGAAGCTCACTTTTGGAGTTGTAAGAACTCCCTCCTCACTGGGAAAAAAGTAATAGAGGCAAATTAGAGTCTCTTGACATTAAGATCTTATATCTGCCATGGATTAACAAGTCTAAGAACAGTCAGAAATCAAACAGTTTTACAAATTATTCATATCCATACTCCCCCTGAGGACAGCTTGTATAGAACACGTTCTCCAACATGACACTGGAAAGTGCAGTTTAGCGTGAGTGGTAAAGGGAAATAGAAAGTAAGGGAAGTGGGGAAATAATTCCAAGTATTATCACCAAGTATTAATTTGTATAAAATAAACCCCACACTGGTCATTTTCCACATGTATTCCACTTATGTTGTCACTAAACTGCACCTATGTTCTGGCTGTTATGCTGACTGAATGTACTTGGCAATCGTGAGCAAGACAGGCAGGGTGAGGATGAGGCTGGCAACTAATGGAGTTTTGACCACGTGGGACTGAGGTGCTGCTGAGACTCTCATGGGTCAGATTCCTCAATAGCAAACTCTGCCCCTGAGTTCTCCAACAACTTCCTCTTCTGCATACTCAAGAGGCCCTGCTGAGCTGCTCCCCAGACAAGTAGTGCATGTAAGAAGCTGGGACACCCCAGCAGGGAAGTTTCTGTTCGAGGCTGTACCACTGTGGGAGGATATTGTATACCTTGCATGCAGTAATAAACCCCGACATCCTCAGCCTCCACCCGGCTGATTTTCAGTGTGAAATCAGTGCCTGACCCACTGCCGCTGAACCTGTCTGGGACTCCAGAGGCCCGGTTGGAAGCATCATAGATCAGGAGCTGTGGAGACCGGCCTGGCTTCTGCAGGTACCAATGCAAATAGGTGTATCCATTACTGTGCAGGAGGCTCTGACTAGACCTGCAGGAGATGGAGGCCGGCTCTCCAGGGGTGACGGGCAGAGAGAGTGGAGTCTGGGTCATCACAATATCCCCACTGGATCCTGAAATTATGAGAGAGAAGTGCAAGGTTATATGCAAGCATCATGAGCAACTTTCAAGATTTGCCTTATAGTATTGATTTATGGTTAATCTTTTATTTTTACAAATTTTTATTTATTTTTTATTCATATCATAAAAACAAACTTTTAAAATGAACCCTTTATTAAATGGTCACAAGAGCTCCTTTACTTCTCAAGATATTATTCAGAACACTGCTTTTAGTAGGTTTCTAATCTTTGTCAGGGCAAAATATAAATTCCCTTCACTGGACCATAAGCCATAGCCCTCCAACTCATGGTTAGAATAAACATGGGAAGCAGTGGGGCCCCCAGACCTCACCCTCCCACCCCATTCTCCTCCTTCATCTCTTTCTATCCTTACCAGGGACCCAGAACATTAGCAGACCCAGGAGCTGAGCACAGAGCCTCATCGTGAGAAGGTGCGCTGAGGAGTCCTGATCAGTCAAGACAAGATTGGAGCTGAGCTTTTATCTCGGACTCACAAGGGGAAGTCCTCCCTAGGGGACAATATGCAAATCCCCTGGTGGGTGCAGTGGTGTGGAAAGAGCCACTGAGTGGGAGGTGAAGGGAGGTAGACATGTCTCCTCTGTGAGCAGTGTGATATACAGTGTTCCTTGATTAAAAACTAATAGAGATAAAGTCTAATTTACCAGTAGCAGTGGGAAGAAGGATCTGAATTTGAAAGTTTGGATCTTGGGCAAGTAACATTTTATAGGATGTCAGGGCTTCCAAGTTTTTGCCAACTCTGAGTGTGAACCTGTGTTCCCCGAGCCTGTATGTGGCACAGCCACAACCATGAGACCCCAGTTCAAAAGGAGATTTTCTATGTAGGAAGAGCAAGAACTGGATCCACAGTTTTAAGTCTCAGAGTCAGCAGTACTATGGATGACATTTTCCTAGGTTTTTAGTGAAAGTTGATCATAACTCAGGGACATGAATCTACCGTACAGCTGATCGTTACAATAGGAAAACAACCTGAGTATTCTTCATTTGTCAGTGATGTACTTAATATTGAATTTAGTGGCTCCTGAATAATGGTGTGTACATCAAATCACTTCACAAGGACTGTCGCTGTCCTGAAAAGAAACAACAAAAATCCCAGGAGCAATTAAAAGAATAGTTTCTAGCGCTCTGTAATCTTCAATGATTTAATACAAAGTCTGATTTACTGAGTAAAGAAAACACATACAGGGAAAAACAAAACAGAGTTCCAGGTGTTATTATTCCACAAGAAAGCTTTTCCTGATTATTTTCTGGGAAATGCACTGGCATAACATATTTTAACAAAGTTGGTGAAAAAACATTGAGTAAAAATGCTATTAGCCTTAAAATGTTGAACTTCATGGCACTAACTTGAATTGAGAGTATCAAATTGTACTGCAGAAGTAGGATTAGATCAAACATATCATGTTTCACTATTTAAATTTTTATTTATTATTTTCTTTCATTACTTTTGATAAATCTTATGGTTTTTTTTTTTTTTTTTTTTTTTTTTTTTTTTTTTTTTTTTTTTTTTTTTTTTTTTTTTTTTTTTTATACAGAGTCTTGCTCTGTCACTCAGGCTGGAGCATAGTGGCGCAATCTCTGCTCACTGTAATCTGCAACCTCTGCCTCCCAGGTTCAAGTGATTCTCAGTCCTTTGGAGTGGATGGGACTATAGGCGCTCTCCACCATGCCCAACTAATTTTTGTATTTTTAGTAGAGACGAGGTTTTCCCTTGCTGGCCAGGCTGGTCTCGAACTCCTGGCCTCAAGCAATCTGCCTGCCTTGGTGTTCCAAAGTGCTGAGGTTACAAGTATGAGACACTGTGCCTGGCATTGACTTCTTTTTTCTTGTGATGTTGACCAGTTCAAATATGGTTTTTAGCCTTGAAAATGCCTAACTCCTAATGTATAATAATAGTTAAAAGAGTCAGAAACATCAAATGCTGAAAAGAAATATAAAAGAAAACACACAAAAGAAACACACAATCTGAAAGAGAACATTATGGTACATCTTATCACTGGTATAAATGAATTAGTATGAAAGGGTATTAAATGAACAAACAGTTCCACCAACTATCCTGTATAGAAACTTGCACTGTGGGAAAACGAATAATAGTCATAAATCTGTCAGGTTTGTTTTTACTATTAGTCAATTCATCAAAGTCTTATTTTTACAAAGTATTCTTTAAGGTGCTGAATTTCAGAGAGTACTTCTGTTTCCTTTGAAAATTAATAACAAAGCTTTAAAAAGTTTACCGTTGGGATTGGTTGTTTTAGCTCATAATCTGTTGTCATTACATACCTGAAAATGTAAAACCTTCACCACATGTTCACTCATAGGTGGGTGTTGAACAATGAGAACACATGGACACAGGGAAGGCAGCATCACACATGGGGTCTGTTGGGGGGTGGCTAGGAGAGGGACAGTGGCGTTGGGGGGAGGTCGGAAAGAATAACATGGGGAGAAATGCCAGATATAGGTGACAAGTGGATGGAGGCAGCAAACCACTTTGCCATGTATGTACCTATGCAACAATCCTGCATGATCTGCACATGTATCCCATCCCAAAGTACCATTTAAAAAAAAATTTCAGTCACAAAAAGGCTCTGAAATTATTACATACTACTAAACTTAAAGAATAATATTCTTAATTCTAAACAGAAATCTCTGTTTAGCAGGCCTCTGTATTTCTCTAATCTGGACCATTAGGAGGACTGATACAGGTGGGGTTTATTGCAGTTGCATCTCACTTGCCTGATGCTACTAGTTTGGAGTCCATAAAACTGAAGGCAAGTGTATTATTTGTATGACTTGAGAAGACAGCCTCAGGAGTGGAACTGTGTCCATTACGCTGGAATCAGCGTTTGTGGGGTGGGGAGTGTGGTCCTGTTTATAGAGGGTTTGAGAAGTTGGGGTTCTGATCAAAGAGAAAGAGATGTCCATAGGGTGGCAGTAGCACACACGACTGTTGTTGGGTGAAGCTTTGACAGATTTGCCCAAAGGGGTCTCTCACAGCAGGAGACTGCCTGGAAGCGAGGGTGTCAGGTTGCTTCTCAGAAAAGATGAAGAACAAGGGAATGCCTAAGGTAAAGGAACGCCGGAGATGGAGCTTCTGTGTCTAGGGGTAGCCAGACAACAGCTTAGTGGGGAGTCTGTAGGTCAGAGAATTCCAGAGGGCGGTAGCCGTTTGCAATTTTCATAACCTGGTGTTTATCTCTCTATTGCTAGCAGATGTGGGTGAGGTTTTCTGTGGTATGAAAAACAAGCATTCTCTGAAGGGCTAAAAATCTTCTTTGAGTTGTTTTTGAAATGATTGGATTGGGAAACTTGAGTTTGGCACAGGCCATTTAGAAATAACCTGCAGCTTAGAAACACACAACATAGGGGCAGTTCACACTGGCCATCTTTAGCTCATTTATGCAACACTGTTATGCATTCTGTAGACTTTGTTCTGCAGAATGTACTAGTCCAAACAGGCAAACTCACATGCTCTGGAGGAGACTGAGACAAACAGAGGCCTGTCGTACACCTGGACTTCAGTGGAGGTTTTTTCTGACTAAAAGTGAGAGTTTGCCCCTGAGTAAGAATTAAGACCAAGTCATCTGCAAAGAGAGCTTCTCTCTGTGAAGTTGCAGGTCCTGTGACTGAATTCCTTGTTCCATACTGAAGCTGTCTGGATTATCTCACTAACTGCAAATTGTCACCCACTGGGGCATACATTCATAAATAAATATTCTGGTGCACAGAGAGCTCAGGGAATGAAGCCTTCATGTATGTCTATCTCTTGTGCTTCTGAGAATTTCTCTCTCTAAAAACTGGATAAAACAGAGTTGTTTATGTTTGACATGTCAGGCAATACGTAACATGTTTCTAAGTCTTCAGACCCTCTAAACCTGCCAAATCTGAATCTGTTTTCAAATGTTTGAATTATTTGTCTTTCCTTTTTCTTGGGAAAAAAATAAACAACAGAAAAAAATCTTATAAAATGACAGACCGAGCCATGAGATTTAGTGCTGGAATTTTTTTTTTTTTTTTTTGGTGCATGTTAATCTTTCTGCAGAGCCCACCTCACCAAACATGAATACAGAAATTGAAGCAATGATTCCACTGCCTCTCTGGGCCTTCTGCATCTGATAAGCTCCCTCGAAACTCTCACCCTTATAGAAAGGGTTTTCTGCCCTCAGAAGTAGGTCTTTATAAAACCATAGCTTGCCTGGAAGGTTATTACATTTATTCCACCGTTTGAACTTGAAAGCTCTCTTTTTGACCTTATATTAAAACCTGGTTTAATTGGGAGGTTGGAGAGTGGAGACCTCAAGAAGATTCTGGGGACCAAATTGGGAATTTGAGCATTTTAAACTGCAGTGGAAGCTGCCTGTGATGTGAAAACTTGTATGAATATATCAAGAAGACAAAGAAATTTTTTTCTTACTTTTTAATTTAGAGAAAATAGTTCACCCACAGAAAATAATTTGAGAATTCTGACACTTATTACTCCTCATTTTATATTAAGATCAACAAAATACTCTCATGAATTTTGAATACAGAAATGTTAAGACCTTCAAGAAAAAGCAGAGACAAAATTAAATCACTTTAACTAACTTGTAAAATCAACTTAAATTCTCTTTTAGCCTCTTCTTGTCAACTCCTATTCATAAAAATCTAAAGTTCAGAACAAGAAAGAGGCAGAGGCTGAATAAATTACCAGGTGCTCATTCTCTGTTATAACAATAATTGTACAGCCTCTATGTGGACACCTGGAAATGGTGACTCTGTCTTATGGGAGCAGCAGTTTCGCTTCACAGCAGTAAATTTCACTTTTACTGGTCCTTTCTTGGCCAGGAGTCAACAATCACCCAAAGCTCACATGCTCTATGAAGCATCAGCTGTGCTCAAATTTCAGTACTTCTAGAAATTGCTTTTTCTAAAATATATCCTAGCAAGAAGAGAATGCAGGATCAGTAATAAAGTAAAATAGATTTTAACCTCCTGGAAGCAGCCAGGACATGAAATTATAAATGTAACAAAGGACTATAGACATGACCATGTCTTAGAAACTTACGTGACCAGGTCTTACTCATATTTCACTTTCTTACTTTGGTAAATGAAGAGCATTGACAATCTAGAAAATGACTTTTTGTTTTGTAAAATCCTAGTAGCCCTGGGTAGAATTTAAAGCCTAATATGAGAATTTATATTATTCGCTTATCCCAGAAAATCTGATTGCATAAAAATTATCTGTATTAAGCACATTAAAATGGAAAAATCTATTGATCCTGTGGAAGATTATAGCAAATATGTGCAAGTTTATGATACTCCTGAATAGGTCCTTAAAGATGAGCAACATCTTTGTTTCCAGGTTGATGCTAAGGTATTACATTTCAGTAAAAGTAATTTGTTTGGGGTTCAAACTAGCTTATGATATTTGTCATTACAGTTCAGCTTATTCAGGACTTACTGAGAGGCATGATTTGCACAATCATATTCAAGAAATTACAACGTTTAATGCAATAGACAAATTCATTTAAAAAAAAAAAAAGCAACTTTTGACCAGAACTTAAAACAGGATAAGCATACCTATTGAGAATTTGACTTATGTGCCCTACTGAGTTATTGACAGAAATAAGAGCTGGTACAGTAGAAGTCAGGACATCACAGTGTCCACTTTTACACCTTCCTCATTAGACAGCCAGGCCAGAAACTGCCTCAACACAAAGAAAATTATCAGAAGCTTCCCTGAGAACTCTGCTGCTGCCTGGTCGGATCGTGACTGTGGTTGGGAGGCTAACTTCTCCCAGCTGGTATTGCACTGCAGCTAGTATTTCTGGGTATTCAGCTCCACAGCTGCCATCAAATGGCATTAAATGGTTTCCCAAATATGTGCTCCATAAATATGGAGAGAATCAGAGTTCCTGATGATAGACGTATATATTCCATTCCATTGTGTTTCATGAGTGTCTTTAGTTTTAAAAAAATGAAGGAATCTCACAGTGGGTGGC